ACCGCTCATCAATTAGATTTTGATTGAGTAAGTTATAGCCAATTTACTACTGAATGTTCAATGGAAATCAAGAAACAGGAGAAATCAAAATGTGTGTGATGATAAAAGGAACAGTTCGGATGTGGGGTTATATTTACCCAAATTAAGTGTACAATAAATCAAATTAACGCCCTATCTATCCAGTTTCTAAAAAATTAAACCTCTCATCAATTGGAGTTTTATTGAGCACGTTATGGTCAATTTACTACTTACTATTCAGTGGAAACCAAAATGTGCATGATGATAAAAGGAATGGTTCAGCAGTGGGGTTACAGTTATCCAAATTAAGTGTAAAATATATTAAATTAAAGCTCTATCTGTCTAGTTTCTAAATATTCAAAACTCTCATCAATTAGATTTTTATTGAGAAAGTTATGGTCAATTTACTATTGAATGTTCAATGAAAACCGAAATGTGTGTGATAATAAAAGAAATGATTTGGTAGTGGGGCTATAGATATCCAAATTAAGTGTATAATATATCAAATTAAAGTCCTGTCTGTCTAGTTTCTACAAATTCAAACCTCTCATCAATTGGATTTTTATTGGGTAAGTTATGGTTAATTTACTACTGATTGTTTAGTGAAAACCTAAATGTGTGTAATGATAAAATGAATGGTTTACTAAAGCTACATGGTTTGGCATCCAACATCAGTTAATATTTGTTAAATAAATGAAATTAGCTATATTTAGCAACAATCTCTTTTCATGATATATGTATATAACATAAAAAATATCAACAACAGGAGATAGAACAATTACAATTAAAACTACATATCAATATTTGTTTTCCTTTAAGGATAATAATAATGGTTCAGTATACTACAAATGGTTTACTAAAGCTATATGGTTCGGCAACAAACATCAGATGATATTTGTGATACAAATAAAATTGGTTATATTCAGGAACAACCTGTTTTCATGATATATGTATGTAACATAAAAAAATATCAACAAAAAGAGATATAACAAATATAATTAAAACTACATATCAATAATTGTTTTCCTTTATCATCATTAAAATTGAATTGGTTTTATGTGTGTGATGATAAAATGAATGGTTCAGCAGTAGGTCTATAGTTATACAAATTTATCGTATAATAAATCAAATTAAAGCTCTATCTTTCTAGTTTCCAAAGATTCAAACCACTCATCAATTGGATTTTGATTAAGTTATGGCTACTTTACTACTGATTGTTCAGTGGAAATCAAGAAACGGGAGAAACCGAAATGTGTGTGATGATAAAAAGAATGGTTCGGATGTGGGGTTACATTTATCCAAATTAAGTGTATAATATATCAAATTAAATCCCTATCTGTCTAGTTTCTAAAAAACTCAAACCTCTCATCAATTAGAGTTTTATTGAGCATGTTATGGTCAATTTACTACTTAATATTCAGTGAAAACCAAAATGTGTATGATGATAAAAAGAACGGCTCGTAAGTGGGGCTACAGTTATCCAAATTAAGCTTATATATATCAAATTAAAGCCATGTCTATCTAGTTTCCAAATATTTAAATCTCTCATCAATTGGAGTTTTATTGAGCAAGTTATGATCAATTTACTACTAACTATTTAGTGGAAACCGAAATATGTATAATGATAAAAGGAACGATTTGGTAGTGGGGTTATAGTTATCCAAATTAAGAGTATAATATATCAAATTAAAGCCCCATCTATTTCGTTTTCAAAGATTTAAAGCGCTTATCAATTGGATTTTTATTAAGCAAGTTATGACTAATTTACTATTGACTATTAAGTGGAAATCGAGAAACATGAGAAACCAAAATGTATGTGATGATAAAAGAAATGGTTCGTCAGTAGGGCTACAGTTATCCAAATTAAGCATATAATATATCAATTTAAAGCCCTATCTTTATAGTTTCTAAATATTCAAACCTCTCATCAATTAGATTTTTATTGAGCAAAGTCATGGTCAATTTACTATAGACTGTTTAGTGAAAGTCAAAATGTGTGTGATGATAAAAGGAATGGTTCGACAATAGGGCTACAGTTATCCAAATTAAGCGTATAATATATCAAATTAAATCCCTATCTATCTAGTTTCTAAAGATTCAATCCTCTCATCAATTGGATTTTATTGAGCAAGTTATAGTCAATTTACTACTGATTGTTTAGTGGAAACCGAAATGTGTGTGATGATAAAATAAATGGTTTACTTAACCCAAATTTAAAGAATTATCATATTAGAAGTGATAAGAATTATTTCAAATAACACCTATTAATTGGAAAATAGAATCAGCCAAAATTAATTCATTTAACATATATACTTGCACATCAGCAAGACATAAACAATTAATCATTCATATAACAAATTAAAATATACGAATGTTTTTACAGAAAACATATTCAACACAAATGAACTGTTTTTACTAATATAGATATGACACATACTCACAGTTCGGCTAACAATATGATCATTCTTAATTTGATCTTAATAAAGTACATGAACATTTCCTTACAAACAAACATAACAAAATTTAATTGATCTTCATGTTAAGATTGTTAAGGAACAATTTTCATTCATATAACAATTGTTACCTAAAAACAAAATCAACAAAAGTTAATCAATCTTCATATTAAAATTGTTAAGGAATACACTTACCGTTCGGCAGGACTAACACAATTAATCATTCAAATTGATTGGCGGAACAAAAACAATCATTCAATCAAATAATAACCGTTAAAATAGTTAGAAGATATACGTACAATTTCGTATTAAAATAGTTATAAAATATACTTACAGTTCAGAAGAACGAATCAAAACAACAACTCATTTGACAATGTCAATCGGACATCCTACCTTTATTCTATGCCAATTCATGAATCTTTGACCCGTAAACAGCAACAAAAAGATAAATAAATAAAAAATCATCGATTAACAAAATCATGAAGAACATACACATTATTGATACAAACTAATATGACCTATAAACAATTAACAAAAGACCTGACGTATTGTTGACATCAACTAACATATTGCGACAATACAAAACTGAACATACGCCCCTTTTATAACCCCTTATTTAGACCTTTCAAATGCCAGCTCAATTAAATATTAATTGAATACGAAAAAGCGTTTGCAGTGTCTATACAATACACCTATATAATTATTAATAGCAATCCTAGACATATGTCATTAAACCACAATTATTAATAGCAATCCAATGCACATGCATACTTGTTATTAATGCACATCCAACACATCAAAATAGTTACATATTTGGAATGTCAATGCAATGCACATATATTCTTATTCTTATTATTATTATTATTATTATTATTATTATTATTATTATTATTATTAATACAGGTCCAATAATGTTTATTAACTATTAATTGTAGATGGAGTAATAAATACAAACCCAATGTATCAAGATGTAACAATTTGATTGGGCTCATTAAACCACAAATCCTACTTGTCAATCCAATGTGTCAAGATGGAATAATTCTATAACCCTAAAATGAGTTCCAAATTGTTTTACGTGTATATATATTTTACTAAGTCACATTATTCTGTCTAATTTATTTTAAGCCCCTTTTGTTTTATTTTTCTTTAATTAGACTATAACGTCTTTAAGCTTTCTCAACCGTCAGCACTCCATTTGTTGAATCATTTTATTATAATCTTTTATCTCCAACTAAGATTGTTAGCGGGGGCGGATCCAGCCCCTTTGAGGTTTCCTCCACTTTTAATTAAAAAAAAAAAAATTATTAATATATGGACCCACCAAAATTGTTATTAATATATATATTCAGGTCTATCTTTGGATTTAAAAAAAATGAGAATTATATATATATATATATATATAGGCTCATAAAAAACTTACTATTAATATATATATTCCAAGCTCACATCATATTAAAATTTTAAAACTCTTTCCACTCTTATTTTCCACGACTTTATCTGTTTTTTATGATTTTATCCCCAAAATTCTTTATTTTCTCATTCTCTTCCTCATGCTATTCGATCTTAAAAAATTTTGAAAACTAAAATTGTTGAAGCTTTCATTACTTAAGGTGTCACAATTAGCTATGTTTTTTGTTTTATCAGTTTTAGGTATGTGTATTGCTCATTTCAATTTAATTTATTTTAGGACTGAATCATGTTTTTTTTTTTTTTTAAGGTTTTTTATTCTAATTTGAGGGAAAAATACATGGATCTTGTGAGTTTATTTGTATTTTATGTCTAAGAATGAAATTGTTTTCCCAAATTAAAACCTTAACTATATTTTAAAGGACGTTATTTTTCATCTTTCACCCACCGCTTTCCAACATTTCAAACGTTCACCGTTCTGCTACTCAAAATAATTAAAGAAATTTGAGTTATTATCTATGTTATATCAAGAAAATTCTCTTGTTTTTTTATTAATTCATATTAAAAGTCAACGCAACATTGACTTAATTTAAGTTTTGGTTGATTTAGCTTAGGTTATGTCTGGTCAAAGTCAAGAAAATTTATATTATAATCTTTTGAACCCCTCCCCGCCCCCCAAAAAAAAAAAAATTAAAAGAAGGTTTTGCTCAAAGTTTACTTGACACATTTGCTCAAAATTTTGCTTTTCATGGATTTATTCAAGTAAAAAAGTATTGTGTTATTGTATTCTTTTTTCTCAGGTTCTTGATTTTGTATTATTTTCTTTGCTTAAGGTTTGGTATTTTTTAAAAGTAAACAATGACGGAGCCGTGGAGGCCCCAATCCCTCTCGAACAAAAATCCTAAATCTGTCACTGATTGTTAGTCGAGCCAAACCGCTCGCGAATTAGCTCGACTCGTTATTTACTTGGGCTTGTGAAATACTTGCAGTAACGGTCGCAGTACCCTAGCTTGGCTCGGCTAGGCTTGCAAGTATTTACTATTTAGTGGCTCAATTGGTTTTTCTTTGCAATATATACAAGTAATGGGTGTGCTGAAATTTACATGTTAAAGGTTTCAAAAATCACAAATTACCACCAATTCCCAATTAACCCAAATCGTAAAAATCAATTCCCAAATTGCATAAACCCTATTTTCAATTGAACTAAACACCTAGCTCTAAACTCAATTACTCAGCACTGTCAATCGACCACTATCGATTCTCAGCTCGATTCTCCGTCGGCCGTCGCTTCGTCTCGTCGTGTCAATCGCCGATGACGGCAGATTTTGCGAAGAAGTTGCGTTTCATTGATTAATCCCCTTCAAAAGTGTTCCGTTTTTCAACTACAACAGGTTATATCCGTCGCATTGAGATTATTTTTTTCAAATCCATGTAATTTAGTAGTTTCCTTGGATTATTGCTTGTTGTGTTGGTTGGGAGATTGCTGTCCATCGGTTGCGATTTTTTTCCTGGTGAAGATACATGGCCATCTGTTATGTTGAAGCTGTGGTTATCGATTTTGCATCTTAAGAACTTAAGAGAAGTTGTTGTTTTGTATATTTTAATTGGAAATGTTGAAACTGATTGCTGCCCACCACCTGTTTGATAAATTGATTAACACATGGCCAAGTATTTCTATTCTAGTTCATCAATCTCACAAATCCTAGTTGGTTTCAAACAGTTGAATCCATAACTCAGCATGATTTTGACTCTGAATTTATCATTTTTCTTTACATCATAAAGAAAAACATCAAACGCCCTTTAAATGTGTTAGTTTCCGGTCAAGTATAGGACCTTTAATTTACAAGCCAATGAAACATACTTTAAGGAAACATTATGTGTGTTTTTCTTGCTTAAATTAAATTATAGTAACATGGAAATATGATATTCATTTGTTTGGATTGGGTGTGTTTGGCTTGACTGTTGGAATATTGAGGGGTGGTCTTACCAAAATTACGCAGTTTGTTGTCTTTTTTTTTATCTTCTGCTAGTGAAAGATTTTCCCATGCCACTATTAGAAAATTTGCTTTCTTATTTGTGCACAATGATATAATTGAAATAATAAAAAGATGCGACAAATTTCTAATGAAAGATGTTGATTTTATGATAAGGTATTATAATAAGTTTATATGTTGAATCCTGAAATTATTGGTTGTCAGATTATAAATTTTATATCTTATGGTTTATAGAAGTGGTAAAATAATAAAATGAATTGCAATACAAGTCTTTGTAACCCAGCAAAGTAATCCAAGTGTTGACAGCAGCCTCTCTTATCCGATCCACCACAAATAATTAATCTCCATGAAAATTTATTTCCCTCCTATGATTAACCAGATATTAATTAACCCATATTTAACTTTTAAAATTTGTCTCCATTTTAATTCACTTGGATTTTGAATGGTTGGGTTTAAAATAAGCACTTTTATTGAATCTACTATATAATGTTAGTGTTTGATTCATGCTAGGTGGGATGAGAATTCATATCAATTATAATTGATAAGTGATGTTTTGAAGATGTTTAATCCTGTACATGCACTTACAAGTTTTATTTCCTTTTTACAGGTATGGACCTATTCTCGACATCCACTAGCTAGCCGACATTGGATAATTTAACTCCCCATAACTGGGATGATGAAAGAATGAATACACAACAGTGTTAGTAGCCCGCCAAATGAAAATGAGAATGATAATCTCTTTTCATATGAGAAAGAGAGCTAAGACATCTGCCATTTAGATTGGATTTAAAGAAGTGTTCTTTTCTAACGGTGCGAAGAAGGCAAAGTGTATCCACTGTAAATCCAAGCTTCAAATTACTGCAACCAGAAGCACTACACGATTTACAAGACATCTAAAAAGAAGTGTGAGGCCAATAGCTTCCATTAGGCAACAACATATTAATTTTTTCCTTGTCGATTCTAGTGTTGGAGCATCTTTTCTTCTTGCTCTTACCGTCAAGTTTAACATGATGAAGATGTGGGAATTGATTGCATAATGGGTGCTTATGCATGAGCACCCATTTACCATTGTGGAGGAGGAGAGTTTGAACAACATGATGACATATGGGATTCTAGAATGGTCTAGTGTTTCGCGCAATACTTGTAAAAATTATTGTGCAAAGGCATATGAAATGGAGAAACAAGAGTTGAAGACATTGATGAAAAGTACTAGGAGGATTAGTTTGACCACATATTTATGGAATGCTGACAACCAAAAGATGGAGTATATGGTTTTGATAAGGCACTAGATAGATAATAATTGGAGGTTGAACAAACATGTTCTTAACTTTGTTCGATTTCCTCCTCCACATGGTGGTGTGTAGATTGTTGGTGCAATTTACAGGTGCTTGACGGAATGAGAAATTGAACACAAGGTCAAGACGATATCAATGGACAATGGTACTAGCAATGATGTTGCAATTAGGGTGTTGAAGGAAAATTTTGTAGTGACAAGGCGGCTCAGTTGTGGGGATAAAATGTTTCATGTCAGATGTTATGCACACATCTTAAACCTGATGGTGCAAGATAGTTTTTGGCAGATTAGGCTTACTATCGACGAGACCCATGAGAGTATGTCATTCATCAATGCTTCGAAGGATAGGCTGAAGGTTTTTGTAGAGATTGTGCAACAAGTGCATTTGCCGTTGAAGACTTTTTCTTGATTGTAAAACAAGGTGGAATTCAATCTATGACATATTAGCAACTGCAATTAAGTTCAAAGAACTGTTTCCAAGATCCAAAGAAAGGATTTGGGTTATAAACATTCTCCAGATGATGAAGATTGGGTGAAAGTAGAGAAAGTCTGTGAGATTCTAAAGGTTATTAGTACAATGACCAATATCATCTCAGGGAGTAATTATCCAACATCAAATGTATTCTGAAGCAAGTATGTAGAATCAAAGTCTTATTGGATAAAAAGAGTGAAAGTGAAGATGAATTCATTAAAAACAAGGTGAGAAAAATGAGGGTGATTGAGTTCTCTTTCCTTAAGATGTATTTTTACTTTGATGCACAGACAGATACTACAAGTGTCTAGGATGCCTTGTATGAGGTACATGGGGAATATGTCGTTGATAGTCAATCATCTAGTGTAGCCCATAGAAGTACAAGTGAAAGGGTTGGACTTGGAGTAATTGTTGAGAGGACTACGGAAGGAGAATGCTTGGATTGGGATGAATTTGATGATTTTCTGGATGAGATTGAAATTATTGAGCCAAATCAATCTGAGTTGGATATTTATCTGAGCGAGGCATGTTATAACTGTTAAGGTGATTATGATGATTTCAATGCTTTGGATTGGTGGAAGACAAATGCTTTGAAGTACCCTATCTTATCTAAGATGACTCGTGATATACTAATCATTCATATCACTATGATGGCTTCAGAGTCTACTCTCAATGCCGGTAGTAGAGTTTTTGGCACGTATCGATATTCGTTGTCTCCTGAAACGGTGGAAATGCTATTATGTGGAGCCGATTCGTGTCGCATTTTAAATGGTGTGAAAAAAGGAATCAAGTACATTTATTATAATTATGTATTTATGTACTACAATTACTCTTATTTCATTTGAACATTAATATTAAATTTTTTTCGTTTTCAATTTCAGATAGAGAAGCAACCATTGGAGATTCAACTTCCCATCTCGGAAGCACTATTTTAAAACTCGGATTGGACTTGTCGGTTGGATCGGTCTGATTGGGACCTGGTAGCTTCTTTGGTCCGGTTCAGGTTTTAGGGGGGTTTTTGTAATATTTCAAATTTTATCAGGATTAATTGGTAATTTTTAGGGGTGTTTAGGAGATATGTCAAAATTTTAGGGATTAATTGGTAATTTTTTGGGGTATTTTTGAAATGAATAAAAATTTTAGGAATTAATTTGAAAATTTTAGGGGTATTTTTGTAATATACTAAAATTTTAGGGATTAATTTAATTTTTTATAAATAAAAGTATTGTTGACGTCACCGGTCCAACTAGTCAATCCATGACCTGATCACCTTATTGGGTCTCACAATGGGTCAAGTTTTAAAATAATGCTCAGAAATTTGAGTTGTGTGATGTGTATTTTGATAATTTCTTATGTTTGTTGTGGCTGATTTATGTATTTTGTTACAAATTTGTGTTTCTTTTTGTTTTGGATTGTATAATTTGCCTGGAATGCATTTTTATGTTGTATTTAGATGTGATTTATGTTTATGTGGATGCAAATTTATGTTGATTTAGATCTGATTTGTGTTAAATAAGAATTGTATGTGAAAAATTAAATGGGGAAATTCGAGTCTTAAGCTTGTGGTGACTCGAGTCCAATCGAGTTGGCTCGAGCTCAAGTCAAGTCTCGAGTTGGCTCGAGCTCGAGTCAAGTTTTGAGTTGGCTCAACTATTACCAAGTCAAGCCATAAGCTTGATTTTTTGACTTGTTCAACTCGTGACTCGACTTGAACTCAACTAGTGGGAAACTGAGTCAAGTTTGTTTAGGGTGAAACTAAACTCAACTAGTGGGAAACCGAGTCAAACTTGTTTAGGGTGAAACTCAACTCAAATCTTGCTAACACCCCTATCTCAAACACAATCAAAATGTTTAAATAAGAGAAATTCTTATTAAGATTCAAGTAGTTAAAATCAGAGTGAGATTTTTAAGTAGCAGCACACTGGCATTTGTATTCCTCGTGAGGAAATAATAAAATCCTTGGATAAATTAACTTCGATTTTCACTTGCAGAAATGATAACCATGATCCCCAGATCAAAACAACTTTTAATAATAAGCTTCAATTGTTACAACCCCAGGTCTACCATTTGTTATATAACCAATAAATGTGGCAAACTTTGACTTTGACACAAATAATTATATATTTCCATGTTTGGTTAAACCTAGTGAAGGACTAAGCGATATCCCAATACACGTAAATCAACCCTTTCAACGCTCAAAATGCAAGCAAAGCCCAAGGTTTTGTTAATGTAATTGAATCACTAGATAATAACTTATAAAAAGAACAAAATTTATCATACCCTATAATGACTGTACTACCAACTTGATCTCTCACCAAAGGACAAAGGCCAACAACAAAAATAAATTCATTTCTCCAGGTGCATTAATCAAAAGTAAAGCATAAGAAACACCAGAATGCGGAAATTCAAATCCAAAAGAACTAAATACCTACTACAAAACCAAAACTGATGCCACTACTCAGTTCAAGACATAATAATGACCCATGTGACCTAATAATTTAAACTGAGAAAAAAAAAAAAAAAAAAAAAGAAGGGTATGCATGCATGTCAAAGACTTAAACATGGGTAAATATCTAAAATTTACACTCAAGAAGACTTAACATTAAAGACGGCTTTTTTTATGCAGGAAATAACATTCCTGTTAAAAAACCTTTGACTCAACTCGACTCTTAAATAGATCACAAGATTCCAAACGGGGGTACATCAGGGTGTGCTGAAGATGTGATAATATTTCACTTGCCACCCAATGTGGGGAAATGCCCAGGATCCTCAATAGAAGGGGCTGCTACATTACTGGCTGAGTAGCCTCCATAACCACCTCTTGAACCACGGCCACGGCCTCGACCACGACCACTAGGGTTGTAGAACCTCTCTCCTTCAGCAGGTTTCAAGAACTCATTTATGCTAACAGACTACAGCAATCAAAAGTATTTCATTAGACAGGAATGTAACATCTATAATACAAAAAACATTAAGTAACACAAACTCTTGAGTATTGAAAGTTAATGAGCATTTATAAATACTAAAGAAATCACAAATACACAGCTGGATGAAGTCAAGAACAGACCAAGAATTTTGCAAACAATAAAGAATTTAAAAGCAATCAACACCATCTCATTACCACAACTTACATATTAATTTATCATTAATTTTGCTGAATTAATAGAGAAGGATTTGACTAGTGAATCTCCAAAATTACATTCACATAATGTGGGAAGAATTTAGAGAAAGATGGCAGTTCCATATTAAGGTTTGTTGGGGTTTAACAATATTATCAAATCACTCAAAGAAAACAGCAATTACTAATCAAAGTTATTTTGTTAAATACTGTTTCTAACACAAACCTTCTTAGCTTTCTCTTCTTTATCTGCAGCCTCTTTGCGTTTGTCCTTAGCAGAACGCTAAAAATCAAAAGCTTAACAGGTCAATACACCAGCAAAAATGTAAAAACAAAACATAAAAGCAGTAATAATAATATAAAGGAATGTTAATGGGTCTTACCAGTTTGATAAAGATGTCATCGTTGCTCTTCTTACTTGAAAGTTGTTGCATGGACTTGAACTCTTTGTCCACGTCAACCTTCCTTTCCTCAGTCTTCAAGGCAAGCAAAGCTTTCCTCTTCTCTTCAAGAACCTTTTCATACTCCTCCAAAGTCATTTCCTATACAAAAATGAAATAAAGTTAAAATTAGGAAGATGTGACTAAATATGAAGAGATAGAACAAATTAAGGGGAAGTTAATGGATTCATTGCATCACTGTAAGGATATCACCCTGATATTACTCATCAGAAAAGTACAGTAACTCTTAAAATTCTCGGGTAAGAAACTTTGATAAAATTATTTCACTAAATCTACAAAATCAAGGGAAACAAAAGTTTAAAGTTTAACACAGTTCACCTAATACAAAAAGTGTAATTCATAACAGAAGTTCATATCAACTTAATTTTAATTCACCTTTGCTCATACATTGAAACATGCTAATAAAGCACAGATATTATACTCTAGATAGCACTACAGTGATTAAGGGCATCCCAATCAATTTTAGTTCTAAAATCCTATACTTTGTAAACAGCCAACAGCGGAAATGTAGAGGTCAATAGACAAGCCACCAAGTATGTTCAAATAAGACAGTGTACCTTCTCCTCAGGCTCCTTCTCTTCTTGCTCATTCACGGGATTCTCCTTATTGGCATCCCCAGCATCTTCTTCACCAGCAGGCTTGTCAGCACTCACATTCTTCTCATTTTCAACAACAGGTTCTTCAGTCTCCCTTGCATTGACAACAAAATTAAATATACATGTAAGCAATGATCACTCGTATAAAAGAATAAAGAACAATTAGCTTCCTCAAAAAATTTATTCTGCTAGAGTGCTTGAAGGGACAAAATACTCACCGTGCAATTTCATCAGTTGGAGTTCCCCAATTGCCACGACCAGCCCCATCACGTTTAATCTCATTACTGATATAACATACAAAATCAATAAATGAAATCTTAAAAAAAAAAAAAAAAAAAAAAAAATGCGATTTAAGTTAATCTATTAGGTAGCTGAAGATTCTTAGTTTAAAGAATACAAACCCACGCCCTGTCCCACTACGACGTTCAAATTGTCTACGTGGACGTTCTCCTTCCCCGGAATCTTCATTACCAAATCCACCACGGCGACCCCCACGGAAGGAACCACGAGGAGCACCATAACTACGTCTTTCGGAGGGCTTTCCTCCTTCTCCCTCTTCAGAAGGTCTGTATCCTCCAGAAAATCCATTATTGCCACCAAATGTGTCATTGTTGCTTGAGTCTCGGTCGTAGCTACGACCTCCTCCACGCCCAAAACCATGTCCGCCACCACGGCCCCCACCACGTCCACCTTCAGTCTTTGAATCCCTCACTACTCAAGAAAAGGACAGCAAAATAACAGAATGGAAACTCAACAACTGCCAAAATTTGAAATTTAACTTTGTATCCAGCTAAGTCTTTGCCTTTAATTGTCTAAAGTTTTCTTTCACAAAAGATTTATTTATTCCTTAGTGTTCTTCATACTGTTTGCTTTATTACATACCAAGCAGTTACAACAAAACCAATATAGATAACTTCAAACACCATGGATATTAATGCAATTATAACACTTTAACCCATCAACAGCACATCGCAAAACCTGATACAATCCATAAAACAAGCATTCACAAATTGCAAGTGGCTAACACTGAACTGACACCAGATACATATCCAAATCACTACTTTGAAATAAAAGAAAAAGAAAAAGCTAAAAACTCTAATTTTCCTTCCACTTTCTCAGCAACCAATCAACAAAAGTATTACGGAAAGCGAATGCAAAAACAAGAAGAAAAAAATAAACGAAAAGAATAGAGGAAACTCACCAGCAGTGGGAGGGGCTGGCTTGGTGGGAAACTTAGCCGCCGGCTTAGCAGCTGGCTGGGCTTGTGGAGTTAACGCAGGTTTCTTAGGCTTGTCAGCGAGTTTCGGCTGCTGAACAGAGACGAGCTGACTTAGGTCTTCGTTATCATTGTCACCCAGTAGATCAAAGGGGTTCATTGTGGCCATTGGTTTGGATAAGTGTAGAAACTACCGAGACAAAATTAGGACTTTGATAGAAAGAAATGGACCCTTATTGCTTAGAAAAAGCCATGAAAGAATCGATCTAAAGAAAATAAATTGTGGAAGCAGAGAAGGAGAAAGTGCGAGAAACCCTAGCCAATGCGGCAGAGAAGAGAGAGTGGAGCTAAACCTAATCTTAAAAACCCTACAAGTGTGAGGGTACGGCCAGTTTCACTATAACTAGTTTGCTGTTGCTTTTGTACGCCACCTGATGTCCATACTTCTTTGGGATTGACCCAACTCACTTAGTCTCTCTCTCTTCCTTTTGTTTTTTTTATTTTTTTATTTTATATTCATGTTTGTGTAATTTTTTTATTTAGTTCATTTTTTTTTTTCAATTTTAATTGCAATGTAAATTTTTTAAATAATTTTTTATTTTATCAGTTTTTTATGTAAAAGGTCTAAATAAAAATAACAAGTAACACTAACTATATTAACATACATTTGTATATAAACTAACATACATTTGTATATAAACTGACATAATAGTACTTTAAAGTTTAAACATAGGATTACATGTATAAATTAATCTAAAAGTAATATTGCACTTATAAAGTCTTCATAAAATAGATGAGTACAAAGTGTATGAGCAAAAAATCGTCTTGGGCTTAACGAGGCCCAATAACAAAATAAATATGACATAGTCCAAAGCCTTAGCCCAATTTCGATTGAGCCTACATTTAAATTCACCTTGTAATTTACCCACTCTAAAGTTAGGTTATCCTACAAGTTAAGTTAAATTGGGTTTCGACTAATTAGCCCACAAGAGTCCATATATAGGAAATTAGAATACAATTCTATTTCCTCTTCTACCAAGATTTTGAATTTTACTCAAACTAATAAACTTAATCTGATAAAGAAAAGAGATCATCTTTCTTTCCTTGGGATTATCTCCCAAAGTAGGATTTAGTGTCCTACTAGGATTCCAACCCCTTTGGTTTACTATATAAACAAAGACAAACCCTTCAATTAGGGGAGATTGAATACCACCAACTTGAGGAGATTTAATACCACCTACTTGCTCTCAAAGTTTTTGCTTCTAAGAACCGCTATTACCTTCGCCGTAGTTCTAGTCTCTAACTAAGTTTTTGGTAATCCTTATTTTCCTTTAACCCTCACTAATTAACCTCTTTTAGCCTTGTTGACTTGAGTGTTGGAGTGCCTACGATAAACACCATCCTGATGTTTCTCGTAAGCTTTACGCTTTCTTCTTGGTATGTGTAGGTTCAACGGATTATCAGTGACCTTAACCTCACAAGATCTATCATTTTTGTAACCGTAGATTTTTAGCATTTACATAAAGTAATGTGATATTACTCTTTAAATGACATATCAATTAATAAGTTGATTTTGTATATTCACCCTACTATTTATATTTTGCCATATCATTTTATATATATATCCTTGTATAGAGACTTTATAACTGTAATATTATTCCTAAATTAGTATATATACAAAACTCTTACATGTATACTCATGTACTTTATGATAATGACATATGTATAAATTAAGTGCATAAATCTTGTATATAAATTAATATAATACAACTCTTTCATTATTACATCGTTTATCTATATTTAATAACCGTTTATTAAGTTATGCTTTTTACAAACTCATTCTTTACTTTGTGCCAACTCAATTAGGTAAGAATTTATCCAAAGAGTTCATATTTATAATTTTATTCTAAAATAAATAGAAAAATTCATAAAAATCAATTTAATAAATGGTCAATATATATGTGTGTGTGTGATACATTAAATCTGTAAATAATAAGTGTCTTTTTATTGTGTGTTCTAAATGTAAACCTGAAATAAGAATAAATATTATGCACTCAAAGGAAATTCATTTGAATTATTTAAACAATAAATTATTAATATTTTGATTTTAAATATTTTAAAATGTCCATGACATGCTTTAAATTAAAATTTAATATTATAAATAAAACTAGATTAGCTATCTTGCTCGATAATATAAATTTTAATTTACTATTATTAGATTGATAACGTAACACAAAAATATTATTACTTGTTCAATTTTAGATTGTTAGATAAATTATTTTACATTGAAAACGTAATTTATTCTACTAAATAAACAATACTATACACCGTACACTAATTATTAAAAAATTTAAATTTTAAAATAATTGTACATTATATGTAAATACTATAATATTAAATTTATAATTTCATATTTTAAAAAATATAAAAATAAAAAACTAGTTAATGGTATCACAATCAAGTAGGCAACTGGCAATGTTATACGTGAATGTGACAACATCATCTATACAATTGGAATATGTTATATTACTATGAAAGACCAAAAACGATTTGATCGATGTTTTTCAGCCTTATGCAATGAAATGGTGCACCCATACTTCAAAAGTATTATATGAAATTGTCTCTTAACGATTTTGAAGGTTAGATGGGTCTTCCAACACTCTAGTTAGGACTGTGCAAATTTTTAGAGTAAAACCGAAACCGACGGGTACCCAGGGTGTTGGTTTCTGTTCCAAATTTGGTGGAATCGACACTGTGCAGTCTAAGTCCGATTCCACCACTTCAAGAACTAGACTCGGACTCGGGAACCAGAACTGAAATTGAGGTCTAGGTACCCAAGGTGAAACCGATGGATACTCGAGGTGTATTTATAATTACTGTAAACAGTTGTGGGTTATTTGTAAATTTCACAAGGTATATTTGTCATTTTTGTGAATAGGAGGGGTGTACTATAATTTTATGTGAATAGTGTTGATACCTAGATCTAGAATTAGAACTTGTAGTTTAGCTTTAAGGCATTTAGGAACCAGAATTGATCGGGTTCGGTTTCAATTCCTAAATCCTAGGAATCGTTGGGTCTGAGTTTGGTTCTAAGGGATTGGGTCGGGTACCCAGACTTGTTCACCCCTAGCTCTGGTATGACAAGCAACTACAACCACTGGTCGTTGTTTGATAACTTTATTGACTAGTTTTTCAATTTATTATGTTTATTTATTTAATTTATTAGGTAATAAATTAGTTTATTTGAAAAATGTGTTTTGCTAGAAGATAAAATGAGAATTTTGTAATCCAATTAAGAATGAAACAGAGTCCTTGTCCTTTCTATCATAAAGTCATTCATCAAATCCAAATGAAACAAGAAAAATGATTTCATTCCTATTTGTACACCCATTCCAGTTAGGGGTGTTCAAAGAAATATAAAAACCGAATTGAATTGGTAACTGAACCAGTAATTGAATCAATTTTTCAGTTATCTGGAAAACCAATTCGGTTTCATTTTAAGGAAATACATAAATCGGAAATTCAGTTCAGTTACTAGTTTAAAGAAATTTTAAAACCAATTAATCAGAACTGGTTTATAAAACTAGTTTTCATTTTAAAATTAAAAAAATTGTAAATCCCCAAATCCTTTTCTCTTTACCCTTCACCCTTTAGGCATTTCTCCTCCTTTTTTTTTTTTTTTTTCACACGAACACACACATTTCTCCTTGGTCCTCAATGATTTTCACTTTTCATTTCCCTCTCAAAATAAAAAATAAGTAAAATTAGAGAAAAATCAAAATAAAAAATAAGTTAAAGGGAAAACTAGTTTTTACTAACCAGTTAACTGATTTAGTTTCGATTCAAGAAAATTCCTGAACCGAAAAATTGGTTTAGTTAAGAAAATTGGTTATGAACACTCCTAATTCCAATAAACCAAACATTACTTTAGTTCTGGAAATTAATAAAGTTTTTACACTATGTATTATTTAGGTAAAAAATGAGGACTTATTTAGTTTTAATTTCATAAAAAGATTTAAACATTAAATTCATTAAAAAAAAAAAAAAAAAGAAGCATTAGACTTGCCTATTTATTAGGTCTAGAAGCCAAATTGGTGTGCACAAAAGCCAGTGGATTTGATTAACAAATAATCCTCTCCATCTTATTGACATCAAGTCATCAACCTTTTGACGAATGCAATGCATAACCTTTTTTTTTTCTTCTTATATATAAATTATATTTTTATAATTTGGAATTCTTCATTTGAAGGAATAACATAAATAAGTTTCTCTTGATTTGGATTGAGCTGGATTATATAATTTTATATTAAATATAACGAGATTATACTGAGCAAGCAACGAACGTGTAATATCGGACTCAATGCTATCGAATATTAACCAATAAATATTGTAGTATAAGGTTATGTACATTAATTTGATGTCTCATAATTTGACATTATAGTAATTAGATACTATACGTAATTATCGTTTATTAATTAAATATCAATTACATACAATTGAACAATATCTGTAATTATCATCTAATCATGTTTTATAATTTTCATATAAATCATATAACTATATATGTATAAGGTTACGTACATTTATTTATTTTTTAATTTTCATGTAAATCATATAATAATTTTCTTGTCCAAAATTTGTATTCAATCACTTATTTTTAATAATTCCTTAATACAATATAGCTGTTTTTAAATATATTATTTCAATTGACATTGATTGAGTTGGTTTGCGAAACAACTCTTTTAGGATTTTCTTCAAACACCTAGTAATCTCACTCAATGAATAGGTCTGATAGATGTACTTGGGAATGACTGCTCATTGTCATTGACCTCTCACTATGGCTGATGCTTTCTTTGATGAAATTATTGCCGTGGATAATCCTTCTCATTCCTCCGTCCCATCCTCTCATATACCAAATGATAGTCCTCTCTCAAAGCCTAAAACTTTTGCCTATGTTTTTGCAAGTTTTGTTGAGATATTGGGGTAAACTTAAGTCAGTTGCCATCACTAACCTTTCGTGGTGATGTTATCTTCGTTAAAATTAATGATGATGTTTACCAAAGCAATTATTAAAGTGCAAAAACAGTCTTCTAGGAAGACTTCTCCTTCTCAAAAGCTCTTAAGCCATGAAGCTTGAGCAGTTGCAGCTAAAACTTCGAGCTCTTTGGATCCCAACAAAGCCTTGGGATATTATGCCACTTCCTATTACCATATCCTATTCTCAATTGAGGAGGACCTTCGTCAATTTTTGGGAAGAGGTACCTATACTTTACTCCAAGCATTGTCCAGACTTTCTCAATGGCAAACTGATTTTAACCCATATAACACGCAAATTCAATCAAACTCTCAAGT